AGAAGGGTATAGCCAAGCCACTCAGCTGATATCCAGAGACTCTCAGATGAGGAGGGTTCTTTCCTGTGTAGTCTGGTCCCAAGCACCATTAGCATAGTACATGATTCTGCATTTACCATCCAGTCTCTGTTATCTTCAAAATGTGGACACTCTTTTCTTCTCTTCCCAGAAGTGTTCATTTTCTGAACCCTAAACCCTTTGTTTGATCTTATCTGACCTCATCCAACACCCGTCTTTCATTTTGATGTCAAATTCCTCGAGTGTGCAGTTATCATTTTTGGAGATGCTTTCCCTTCTCTATGGAATGACCTTTCCTTTCCTCTCCCTCCTTCCTAATGGGGTTCTTCCTTCCATTGGCATTCCACCAGGAAGCTCTCTAACAGCATCAGGGAAAGCCAATAAAGTTCAGCTCCTTCAAGAACACCTGTATTTTAATGGGCAATTTCCCTAAGTGGATTGGAAAGTCCTTGAGGGCAGGCCCATGTCTTACTGTCCACATGGAACTTCTGAGATGTTTAAAACAGTGCTAGACACCTAAGACATATTCAAGAATTCATTGGCATCCATTACTCATGTTGATTTAAATCTGAGGCCTGCTGCTTGCACAGAGAAGGCAAATTTGATACACTGTATCTCACCACTGTTTTTCCCTCACCCCACATGTTTCTCCAGATTCCTGCCACTGTACAGTAGAAAAGGGAGGTGGTCAAAAATCTGGAGATAGGCTAGCTTCTTGATTAGGTGTTTATGAACATCTTTAAATCTCAGTTTCTTCACCTGAAAAATGGACATCATGCTTTTCTCCCTGCCTCAGGGGTTGGAAGGATCAAAATGAGAGACTGAAAAGGAGGGCAAAGCTTTTACAGCTGCAAAGTGCCTTTCTGGGGTGAGGAAGCTGCTAGAAATACCTATATCTTGTTCTCCCTCTCTGACAGGATTGGGATCTGAGATGGGAGGCAAGAAACACATGGCTCACAGATAAATATTATTAACAATGCAAGGTCTTTGGATAGCTCCTTGTTTAAAAAACAAACAAGTTCTTGCTAACTAAGATAGGCTTTTAAAAATCATTAAAATTAAGCCCTGGCTGGTGTAGCTCAGTGGATTGAGCATGGGCTGAGAACCAAAGGGTCACCAGTTTGATTCCCAGTCAAGGCACATGCCTGGGTTGTGGGCCAGTTCCCCAGTGGGGGCCATGTGAGAGGCAACAACACATTGATGTTTCTCTACCTCTCCTTCTCCATCCCTTCCCCTCTCTCTAAAAATAAATAAATAAAATCTTTAAATTAAAAAAAATATTAAAATTGAGACTTCCGGCAAGATGGAGGCATAGGTGGACACATCGTACCTCCATGCACAACCAAAATTAGAACAACAACAATTTAGAGGCAGAATAACACCCAGAACTGATAGAAAATTTATCTGAAAGAAAGTCGGACAGCGAAGAAGTTGAAGTAGACCCTTTCATCCAGACCGGTAGGAGGGGCGGAGACAAGCAGCCGGGCCTGGGGTCACTGCACGGGGAACAGGGAGAGTTGGGCGCATAAGGCATCTGGGGCGCACAAGATCGCAGCGGGTGGACCCTGAGAACGCAAGCGGCAGCTGGCGGACCCAGTGGGGTGGCGATTGTGGAGCAGGGCAGAGTGCACAACCCAGGATCCCAGAGAAGGGACTGAGGTCCCACGGAGAACGGAGCTACTGCCATTGTTCCCTCTCGCCCCCTCCCCCGCCCTCACCCCCACATACAACGTCACAATCTAGCGACTGGGGTGCCCAACCCCAGTGAACACCTAAAGCTCTGTCCCTCACCGTAACAGGCGCGACCAGACCAAAAAAAGAGAGAGAGAGAGAAAGAGAGAGACATGTCTCAAACAGAAGAACAGATCAATGCCCCAGGACTCATCCTTTTGAGCGACTAAGAGATAGCCAATCTATCAGATGCACAGTTCAAAACACTGGTGATCAGGAAGCTCACAGAATTGGTTGATTTTGGGCACAAATTAGATGAAAAAATGCAGGTTACCATAAAAGAAATGAAGGAAAATGCACGGAGAACCAATAGTGATGGGAAGGAAACTGGGACCCAAAACAAGAGAGTGGACCAGAAGGAACAAAAAAACAACCAAACAGGAAAGAACGGAGAAATAAGAATTCAAAAAAATGAGGAGAAGCTTAGGAACCTCCAGGACATCTTTAAACGTTCCAACATCTGAATTATAGGGGCACCAGAAGGGAAAGAGGTAGAGCAACAGATTGAGCACATATATGAACATATAATAAAGGAGAACTTCCCTAATATGGCAAGGGAGATAGACTTCCAGGTAGTCCAGGAAACTCAGAGAGTCCCAAAGAAGTTGGACCCAAGAAAGAACCCACCAAGACACATCATAATTACATTACCCAAGATAAAAATGAAGGAGAGAATCCTAGAAGCAGCAAGAGATAAGGAGACAGTAACCTACAAAGGAGTTCCCATCAGACTGTCAGCTGATTTCTCAAAAGAGACCATACAGGCAAGAAGGGGCTGGAAAGAAGTATTCCAAGTCATGAAAGACAAGAACCTATATCCCAGATTACTCTATCCAGCAAAGCTTTCATTTAGAATGGAAGGGCAAATAAAGTGCTTTTCAGATAAGGTCAAGTTAAAGGAGTTCATCATCACCAAGCCCTTATTTTATGAAATGTTAAAGGGACTTATCTAAGAAAAGAAGACAAAGAAAAAAATGTATAGTAAAAGGACAGCAAACTCACAATTATTAACAACCACACCTAAAGCAAAACCAAAAGAAACTAAGCAAACAACTAGAACAGGAACAGAACCACAGAAATAGAGATCACATGGAGGGTTAGCAACAGGGGAGTGGGAGGAGGAGAGAGGGGGAAAAGGTACAGAGAGTGAGTAGCATAGATTGTACGTTGAAAATAGATAGGGGGAGGGTAAGAATAGTATGGGAAATGTAGAAGGTAAAGAACTTATAAGTATGACACATGGACATGACTAAGGGGGGGATATGGGTGGGAGAGGGTGTACAGGGTGGAGGGGATTGAAGGGGGGAAAATGGGACAACTGTAATAGCATAATCAATAAAATATATTTAAAAATCATTACAATTAAAATTTCCCACCCCCTGTATATTTAAATCTCTTATCCTTCATCCTTCTTACAGCTCTGGTCCTTGGAGAGTCTCCAGGGGATTTTCCATGGTTAGAGAAGCTTTCAGGCAAAAATTTGAAGTAAACAATTGTGATGCCTCACCTAGGCATACTTTCTTAGTCTTAACAGCTCTGAGGTTGGCAGGGCAAGAGGTGTTATCTTCATTTCACAAATGAAAAGGAATATTTTGGCAGCACTGTGTTTTTAGAAAGCTCATCTCTCACAGGTCTCTTAGGACATCATGTGTCTCTGATCCTGTAAGCAAGTGAAGTCATGGACAGCAGCAAGGGCATCACCTGAGAGCTGGTTAGGAATGCAGACTATCAGCCTCACCCCAGACCCACTGAGCCAGAATCTGCATTTTAATAAGTCCCCAGGTGACTCATGTGCACATTCAAGTTTGAGAACACTGACCCTATACAGGGATTCAATAAAAGCATTAATTATCTTCTTCAGGAAAATAAAACAAGACAAAAACAACTCCAAGGTATTTATTCTTTAAAATAACTCCTTTTTTTTAATTTGGATCACATTAAATTTATTTATTTATTTATTTATTGAAAGTAAATCTTTTTTTTTATTTTATTTTAATCATTGTTCAAGTACAGTTTTCTCCATTTAGTTCCATTCCAGCCCACCCACCCAACCCTCCCTACTTCCCTCCCATTACCCCCCACCCCTAGTTTTTGTCCATGTGTCCTTTAAATTTGTAAAAGAACTCTTTGAAGAGAAATATTTATCACCAAAACGTGGATGGTAGAATTCCAGGCATCTGATCTCTTAGAGAGATTGTGAGGGTCCTACATAGAGAATTCCATCTTTTCCACTTACACAAGAAGCTGATGTTGCTTGCCAAATAGTGTTACAGAATGAAGTTTCAAAGAAAAAGCAAGAAGGAATGCTACAACAAAATAGAAAACAAGGCCTGAACTGCGGGGCTCATTTGGTTGAGCATCTTCTAGCAAACTGAAAGGTCACTGGTTCGATCCCTGCTCAGGGCACATGCCTGGGTTGGAGCGCTTGTGAGAGGCACTTTCTTGATGCTTCTCACACACATCACTGTTTCTCTCCCTCTCCTAATCCCTCCTGTCCCCTGTCTCTAAAAATAAATAAAATTTTTAAAAATAAAATAGAAAATGTTACAAAGCTAAAATAGTAATTTATATTTTTCTTTTCATAAAATATGCACTATAATAAATTTTATTATATGGGTGCTAGCTAACCAAACAACTTTCTAATAAACATTTAATGTCCTGTTTTCACTATAATCAATTTTGGAATCACCATGAACTATTCCACATCTATTCTCTACTAGTTTAATCATCTTCTAAATACTAAATGACAAAAACATTGTCTATTTGGTTAAATTTGTAGGAAATTTGTAAGTGGATTGCCTCTACCATGTTCTTCTTAAGTCAACTCATTCAAAAAAAAATTTCCGTGCAATGCATTTGAAGTCTAGTTTGTCAAATTGTTAACAACCTCAGACTTTAATTACATGTTGGCTCCACATGGTGAGATTAGAAAAGCTTCATCAGAAACTGAGTTACCAATCCTAGAATCATACATAGTAAAAGCTTTAGAGGTGATCCAATAAAAATTCTTTTACAAATGGGGACACTGGGGCTCTCAGAAGGGATATGACTTGCTCAAGCTCATTCTCACAGTTGGGATTATTAGAGGTTTCATCTTTTAAAAGAAGAAAATTCTTTCAGTTGTAAGAAAGACTGAACAAAACTACACATTTCCCAGTATCCTGGTTTTCATGTTCACTCACATTTTTAACAGAGGGCCAACCAGTTCCTAAAATTTTAGGTTAAACCATTCCATGGGTGCATCAACTCACCTCGTCAGCAATCTCCTGGATTTCTGGAGTGGCAGGTTTGGCTTTAGTTAAACCTCCAGGCATCATTTTGGCTAATTGCTTCTTTGCTGGGCAGGATACTGGAACTGAAGTGTCGGGTAAGTGTGGCGACTCCTGTCTTTAAAGAGGGTTGTTCAGAGCTCCGCCTATAGAATGTTTTATTCTCCTTAAGAGCACAAGGAAAACGAGTATGTGTTGAGACAAGTCTTCCTGCTTCACCAACAGAATAGCTAACAGAAATTGGGAGGAGCCTGTGGTTGAGGCTGAACAAATGGGTTTGCACAAGGAGTAATGATGTAGCAAGAACCACACTTCCCTGTACTCTCTGACAATGGTTCACATCCTTTGAAACATGTGATTTGCAAAATTTGAGGACACAGCCAGAGTTTCCCAATGTTTCAAAACCTCTTACATGATATTTTATTTTAAAAAATATTTTATTTATTTATTTTAGAGAGGGGGAAGAGAAGGAGAAAGAGAGGGAGAGAAACATCAATGTGTGGTTGCCTCTTGCATGGCCCCCACTGGGGACCTGGCTCACAACCCAGGCGTGTGCCCTGACTAGGAATTGAACTGGTGACCCTGGTTTGTGGGCTGGTGTTAAATCCACTGAGCTACAACAACCAGGGTCCAAATTTTATTTTTTAAAGGAATATTTATTAATAGTGTCAAGACTGATTGTATAGAATTTACTTCACTTTATAAAGAAAGTGAAAGGATTTATCTGGAGAACCAGGGTTGAATAGTTGTATTTTACATTTATTTACATTTGTAGAACTGTATAAAACACAGAAAAACACAAAGAATAAAACTACAAACACCTATATACCTATTATCCAGAATTAAAACTTTGAACATTTTGTGATATTTTGTCATGCTTTCTATATGTTTTTATACTTGTTTTTGAGAAATAACATATTACTCCCCCTACCTGGAGGCAATATTCTACATATTGATGAAGATTTTGGTTATTTCTGGTTTTTACCCTTATAAACAGTATTGCATTTCTCCCTTTTGTACATGCATGAGGGCTTCTGCAGATAACTTGTATTCTAGTAAAATTGTTTTGTATGAATATTTATTTGTGTTATTCAACTTTTGGAATGTGTAACATGTACACATGATAAAAATGTTCAAAAGGAATAAAGAAGTTTTCCATATAAGGAATTCTTCACTTACTTTAGTCCTCAGCCACCCTTCTACTCTCCAGAGACAACTACTGTCACCAGCTTCTTGTAGCCTTCAGAGATATTTTTTGCACATACAAATATGTAAATACTTAGCTACACACCTACATATATACACATGCATATACACTTTTCTTTTATAAATGGTTCAAATGGTACCCTACTACATAAACTATTATACACTTTGTGTTATCCCTCTCCGTCTATTTTGGAGATTGTTCTCCATTTCCACATAGAAAGGTGCTTCATTCATTGTAATGTTTGGCAGGTGCTTAATAAATTCTTGGAGGTAAGTACGTGTGTTGCTGAATAATCTAAGAAGCGCTATGCATATTGCTGTCCATGGAATGCTTTTGCTCACATACAGAGAACAGCAAGTGTGGATGACATGGTGCTCACTCAAGAGGTCACTAGTTGTTTTAAGACTTTGGCTCATCTCTGGCCCCAGGTAATCCTTGACTTCTTCCTGTGAGCTTCCCAAGTCAGGCCCTTTTGTATCTAGGCCTCCAACTTTTTTCAAGGCCATAGCCCATTTCTCTGCTCACCAACTAGTCAAGGGGATCCTCTGAATCTCTCCAGTGGTCACATGTAGGGTAAACAGCATATCTTTTGTTCCCTTTCTAGAGGCCGTGCCCTATTATTGTCAGGTATTCTCTCTTGATTTGCAGTGATTTCTTTGAGAAGCAAAAACTGCCCCAAAACAAATATTGCTTTTATGTTCACATTCCTACTCTGACATCCTGATTCCCCTCAAAATAGCCAGGGTGCTTCTGGCTGACAGAGATAGTCTTATACAAAGCAAAACAGAATTATCTCTGTTAATTATTTAATTACTTAAAGCACACAATTAATTAAATGCACATTTACTTTTAAGCACCTGTTTGATTGCTCTGTTGCACAGGTGGCAAACACAAGGCCCATGGACCAATCCAGCCCTCCACCTTGTTTTATTTGGCCCAGCACCTTGTTTCTACCAGGCGGCAGTGCTGAGCTCCTTGACTCTAGTTAAGGAATCATCAACCTTTACAATTCATAGGCAAACCTTCAGTCCACTGAACCACATCAGCCAGGGAAATTTTTTTCAAATATGGACTAATACAGAATATTTTTGTATGACATAACTCATTATCTCTCTCTGAAAAGAAATTAGCTTTCCCGATAAAATACTAAAGCAATTTCCTAATGAAATGTAATGAAATTAAGACTTGTTCTGGGACCATAATTATTTTCTCATAAAATAACTAGTTACTTTATTAAAAAGCCCAATTAACTTGAACTTCTTGCATTTCTTACAGTGGCTATGGATGTAATAAATTATTAGTGCTCCAATAAAATGTTTAAAATTATAAAAGTATAAAATTGTATGTCCAACTCAACTGAATTGCAATAACTGCTATCTTAAAATGGTTTGTTCCTGTAAACTTCTTTTTTATAAATCATAAGGATTTGATTATTCCTTTTACACTGTTTGGGTATAAGATTTATTTTTAATTTATGTTTTTGCTTACTGTTTATATTCAATATTATTCTGTATTAGTTTCAGGTGTACAGCAAAGTGGTTAGAAAATCATGTACTTCACAGGGTTGGGTCCCCCCACTGCTCCAAGTATCCATCTGGCCCCATGCATAGTTGTCATGATGTTGTTGTTATTCTTATTATTTGTTTTTCCCTTTTCTTTCTTTATCACCATACCACTGACTATATTCCCTGTGCTGCAACCTACATTTATGTGACTATTCTGTAACTATCAATTTTCATCCTGCTTAATCCCTTCCCTTTTTTCTCTCAGCCCTCCAACGCCCACCCCTCTGACAGCTTTCAGACTGTTCTCTGTATCATGAATCTGTTTCCATGGGTAAAAGTTTGAAATGCCTGTTTGACAAGCTTTCTGTATCAACTTCTGTTTCTCTGTAGTTTTTGATACTAGAAAAAGAATTCGTAAGGTTACGCAGACCCCGTCTCATGGGGTCTGCCACATTGTGGATGAGATACGAGACATTCACATGGACTACTGAGTCCCGTGGAGAAAAGGAACAGCATGGCTTTTCTCTCAAGAGGAGCAAAAGCCGCAGCCCTCGCTGTAACAGGCCTTTATTGAGTGTCCCAGCACATTACATGATGGTCCTCATTTACTATGCACAGGCTCACTTTAGGTGGTTACCTTTTACAGAAAACAAAGGAGATGCCACTGCAGATCACATCACAGAAGAAGGATGTTTGCAAATGTAAAGGGAAAAGTAGTTGAACTGGTTACACTTGTCCTTGGAAGGTTTAGCACGGATTTTAGGAAGTTACTTTGCAGTAAATGTTTGTTGCCTCGATACAGGGTGAGGGAATTTTAGCAAAAGCAAGTCTCATAGCAGTCTAGGTACAGTGCAGGCCTGATTCCCCATGGGAGAACCTATCCATGGGTGAGGGTCCTGTGCATCGGACCTTGCTTTCCACTGGGAGCTGGGCCCATGCCATTCAGAATGGTGTCCTACAGTAAGTGAAGTAAGATCCCAAGCACAGTTTTTCCTGAGACTGTCAGGGGATAGATGAGGTGGTGGGGGGGGGGGAGATGAGAATAATGACATATTAAAAATAAAAATCCATTGTATAACAATGTGAATGTACTTAACATTGGTGAACTGTACACATAAAAGTGGTTAAAATGATACATTATATGCATCTGTATATATGCTTATTATGGAAAAAAAGTAGTGCTTGTTTTGGCAGCACATGTACTAAAATTGGAACAACCTGGAGAAGATTAGCATGGTCCCTGTGCAAGGATGACATGTAAATTCATGAAGCGTTCCCTATTTTTAAATACATAAATACATAAATGTAAAAATCATGGAGGCCCACAGTGGGGAGAGACAGGAAGCAAGGCTGGCAAGCCTTGTAGTCAGGAGGGTGCTGGTGTGATTTACATGTGAGGTCCTCAAGATCTAGGAGAGAACCAACTGGCTTTGGCTATGAATATTTCCATGTTTGGTCATAGCTATAGTGTAGACATCAGCCTGCATTGTAGTTGAGTCCTCCTCCCTGAGTCTCCTGCCTTCCAGCCAGGGGCACTGCCACTCACCAAGATGTACAAGTCAGAAGCCACAAAATCATGGTTTATTTTCTTGTCTCCATCCTTTTATCAGAAAATTCTGCACAAAAACATTCTTGCCCAATAAGTACTATGTGCTGTTTGTTCTCCACACAACAGACTGATCTTTTATAAACAAAATTTAGATAATGTTACTCCCCTAGATAAATTCCTTTAATATTTTTTCCACTGAATTAAGAAAAAAAAATCCAGACCCCTTACCATGGACCACTATAGGGAACCAGTCTGCGTGGCAATGGTGAATGTAGCTCAGCCCTGGTTCAGAAAACTGACAGGTGCAAGGTGGCACACAGGGGCCAGGCCCACACATTGACTTTCCCATGGGGAACCAGGCCAGCATTATACCTAGGCTGCTTTCAGGCTTGCTTTTGCTAAAACTCCCTCACCCTGAGTCAAGACTGCAATGCTTAATGCATATCTTTGAAGCAACTCCCTAAAGTCTGTGCTAAGCCATCCCAAGGATGATATGTAACCAGATCAACCACTTCTATCATTCCCTTGCATTTGCAACATTTTTTTCTTTGTTATCTGTAAGAAGTAATCACTTAAAATAAACCTGAGCATAATGAATGAGAACCTTCTTTGATGTAATGCTACTAGAAAGCAATAAAAGTCTGTCCAGGCAAGGGTCAAGTTGTTCTCTCCCTCAGAGAGTGGCCGTGTTATCCCTTTTCTCCACAGGACTTCTGCAGTCCGTGTGAATTTGTTCGTTGCATCTGCAATACTGTGGACACTGCTGGCCGTAGTCCGCATCAGACCACTAGGTCTTGTATAATTCAGTCTTTGCCTAACTCTGTAACCTCATCTCATATACTTTCCCCCTTATTGCTTTCTGAATGTCTTGGCCTCATTGGGTTCCCAGAAC